CTCACGAGGCTAACTATGTAAAGCCTTGAACTCAACAATATATCTGACATTTTCAACAGAAAAACCTTCCTGGATGGGAAGCGAAACGTCTTCAAACATGAAAACAAAGTCCAGTGGATGGTTTTTTTTGTTAACTTTTTTGTAATGACTATGACCTGGATGACTGAGAATCTTCACCAGCACAAATGCAATTATAAACTGGGCTGAAATTAAAAACTTGGACAAAGTTGCAGGACAGGTGCTTATTAGGGAACATTGCTAAGAACATCTATTTTTTTCTCTTCAGATAAACCTTCATAGCAAAACTATGAATTCAAGTTAAATAAGAGCAATGCATTGTTTAATAAAAATTCAGCAGTCTATGTTGCACAAAAGAATGTTCGATAAAAATATTTCTGAAGCTCAGTTTTTCTGCACTCTGATCCATCTGATGCTGCCCGGTCCCAGCCTGATGGCTGGTGTTTCTTCACTATTGAGGAAAGGGGCCTTTGTGAGATTCTGATTAAAGCAACAGCAGAGCAATCGGAGGTATTGCTAGTCGTGCATGGGTTTTCTAATACACTTTGGGAATGATTTTGTTAGCAAAAAATAATTACAATGCAAGCCAAAGTTTACCTGTGGGCTTTACTCTGTCACCTATAATTCAGGATATTCAAGATGGAAAATTTCTAGACAGCTGTGACAGAGCTTGAGATTTCCCTGGAGGATGGCTGTTGTAGCTAAAACAATGCAATTGTACTGTGTGTGGGATTAATTGCTGAGGGTTTGGCATATTTTATTTACACCATCCTGACCAGGATGTAAGGACATTCAAATCATTTGTAGCTGCAGATGTGTCAGCGCCAGCAAAGATTTCCAAATCATGGAACTATAAAGTTATACTGATATCTAAATATTAATTTAAAGAACAAAATGAAGGGCAGGTGTCCTCCATGCAGGACTGTCTATACAGCAGGTTATTTCAAAGTGAGATCATATTTCTGATTGGTTTGCTTGTTTGTTTTTTAAGTCCTTTTAAAATTAAGTTGTGACGCTTAATGGAATCTGTCCTTTTTTCTGTCTTTGCTTCATCAGTGTCACACAGAGGGAAGATTCTCTAAGACTACGATTGAACAACTGTTCGACTGGAATTGCCCAGTATAAATGTAGTTTCATGAATATCAGATAGAAATGATAACATATTCTCTGAATAGCAGTCTAATTTATCTCAATCTGCAAAGGCAACAGCATAATCCACTGTGCATTGCAGAAGGGGCAGACTGTTCATCATCAGGAGCCAAAATAAATTCCAGCAGCAATTTAAAGAGCTGAACATTTAATTTAAGGCTTATAGAAAAAAAAAATATAAATAAAAAATACTATTTTTATTTCAGTTCATCTTATTTCTTAACTGATTTCTTACAGACACACTAAATATACTGTAACATCTTAAGCAGCAAAATGTCCTCAGGATCACAATCTAGAACAGTGACCCTTTCTCATCTTTGGACCTCGCTGCAGCTTTGAATTTAAAACCTAACAGAGATGAGAAATGTCCTATGATCGCTTCACTGCAATAACTATTCCACTTTTATTTAATCAAGTTTGTAAAACTACTCTTATTTGAGGGCAATCTCGGGCAAAGCAAAGACATAACCAGAAATGCTCCAGACATGTGCTACACATAAACAAACTTCCTATTGTTGAGTTTGCTGTCCTATTTGGAGGTCAAATGCAAATGCAGTGAACTCTGTTAGTGTTTATTCATCTCTGTTCTAATATGCATTTTGGTTTTCAAGGTTTTATGTTGCAGTAACTCTAGACTCAAACTTAATGGTGTCTTAAGCTGACAATATATATGTTTTTTTTTTTAATGGATCATTTTTTAATGGAGAACTAAATGCATCATCTGCAGTTGAGGCTGCAGATTTTCTAGGTCATTTTCTATGGTGTGGCAGGGGAGGGGACTGTGTGCTCTGCTGATGACATGACTCGTGTCATGAGATTATAAAACTTTTAGTTTAATTTCATTAATAGTCTTTTAGCTGAAATAACTACAAAAGAGCTGAAGAAATTGCAGGTGCATCTTTGCTGGAAAGAACTTAATGGAGAAGATTGTGGACATTTTTCAAAGTTAAAGATTTCTCCAAATGAAAATTGTTAGGTTTATTCTGTATACATCATGTGCATTGTTACTTTGTTAGCCAGATTTGACAGAGTAGAAGGCCTTCCTTCACATTGTGGATGTCACTGTGTGTACGGAGGTCATCTAATCAGGACAGCCTTCATGTCTTTAAAAATACACAGGATATGGGCACATCTTGGAGCCGGACTGATAGAGGAGAGCTATCTGTAACCCTGAGGCATAGAGGCAAGCTGCATACAGGTCAGGGCATGGATGGCGTGTCAGTTTCTGATACGGACAGCTAAGCATCCACCTGATGCAACACATACACATATAAGGTATAAGAAGCAGGAGATGACCTTGTTCGGGGCTCAATCTTTGCCGGACGCACGCGGACGTGATTTTTGAGCCCACAGCTGTGCAAGCTCCAAGCATTTTCTCTGTCCTGTAACGACCTGATCTGAAATAAACTCTGTTACTTTTTTACTCCTGGTTTATAGTCCTCTTTTTTATATGTTTTTACCCAGTTTGAGTTAAGAGTAGTAAATAACTTGCTCCCAGGAAAAGAACCGTGAGGAAGCCCCTGAGGCGCAACGGCTTTTTTAGGGGACATAACTTCCTCATTTAACAAAATGCTTCACAAACTGCATCAAAATCAAAACGTTGGCAGATCAGTCCAATTCTGTGAGCCGCACAGAACAGAGAGAAGAGATGCA